ACAGGGGCAGGGGCACAGGGGCACAGGGGCAGGGGCACAGGGGGACAGGGGTGAGGGCACAGGGGCACAGGGACAGGGGCAGGGGCAGGGGCACAGGGGCAGGGGCACAGGGGCAGGGGCACAGGGGGACAGGGGTGAAGGCACAGGGGCACAGGGGGACAGGGGTGAGGGCACAGGGGCAGGGGCACAGGGGCAGGGGCACAGGGGGACAGGGGTGAGGGCACAGGGGCACAGGGACAGGGGCAGGGGCACAGGGGCAGGGGCACAGGGGCAGGGGCACAGGGGGGCAGGGGCACAGGGACAGGGGCAGGGGCACAGGGGCAGGGGCACAGGGGCACAGGGGCAGGGGCACAGGGGCAGGGGCACAGGGACAGGGGCAGGGGCATAGGGGCAGGGGCACAGGGGGACAGGGGCGAGGGCACAGGGGCACAGGGGCTGCAGGTGAGGCCGGCCTTGCAGACAGCCTGGCGCGAGGACAGAGCCTCAGCCTGCTCTTCAAGTCCCGGCTCCACCCGGGCAGCCATGTGGTCTGACACTGGGAGGCGTTCAGGGAGGCCTGCTAGCAGGCAGAGCTTGCAGTCGGGGTGTCTCGTCTGTGCGTTTCTGTGCTGACTGCCCGGCTGTGCTCGTGGGCCTGGCTGAAGCCGCCCTCTCTGTCTGGGCTGCGGGGCCCATGCCAGGTACTATGTCCAGGGCTGCGGCCAGATGCCTAGGGCTCTGGTGAGGTCAGGGAGGTGCATCTACTGGATTGTTGCAGAGGCGGGCTCGGGGCAGCTGAGGGAGGCAGGTTTGGTTTTAGCATCAGGCAGGAGCTTTCTTAGCACAAGATTGGCCAGGAAAGGGGTGGGCCTCGGGAGGAGGAACCAGGGATGCGGGCCTCCGGAGGAGGGGACCTGGGACGCGGGCCTCGGGAGGAGGGGCCTGGGACGCGGGCCTCGGGAGGAGGAACCAGGGATGCGGGCCTCGGGAGGAGGGGACCTGGGACGTGGGCCTCGGGAGGAGGGGACCTGGGACGTGGGCCTTGGGAGGAGGAACCAGGGATGCGGGCCTCGGGAGGAGGGGACCTGGGACGAGGGCCTCGGGAGGAGGGGACCTGGGACGAGGGCCTCGGGAGGAGGGGACCTGGGGTCTGGTACAGCCCTCGTCACAGGCCAGAGGGAGCCTCAGTCCTCTGCAGGCTGGAGTTGATAGGTGGTGCGGGGTCCTTGCAGCCAAGTTGACGGAGTGCAGTTCTCAACTCTTCTCTGAGCTGGAGCGCGAGGCGAGGCGCCCGCCGGGTCTCTGGCTCTTCCTGCCGATGTGATCTGCCCCCTGTGAGACGTCCCCCAAAGTGCCATGGCAGCCCTCACCCCTTCCTCCCTGTGACCCTGCATTTCGTCTAGCACACCTTTGTAAAGACGGAATCGAGGCTGGTGTGGAAGGGCGTGGACACTCACTCCTCGCGGGGGACGCGAGCATGTCAGCACTGTCGAGGGCTCTGGAGCGCACGGTGGTCTCGTGTTCCCGCTGTGCCCGATGGGCACGTGTTCATTCCGCGGAGGCGCCTGTGCGGCGTGTGGGAGGGCTGCCCGGGGTGCGGGTGTCCCGGGTGAGTCTGTTCCTGGCCGCGGTAGGCGGGCCCGTGGTCTGAACCAGGTGCCCTGGAGCCTTGCCCGGCAGGTGCCTTCCCAGGGAGGCGGGGCTGGGCCAGAGCACTGTCCCCTCCCCTGCTCACGTAGCCTCTGGCTGTGGAGTGCCCTTGGTGTGCCCTTGAAGGGCTTCCTGGCCACTGACCAGGCTGTCCTCAGCCTGGCCTCGCACAGCTGACCTAGGGCCCAGCCTCCCGGCCTGCCCTGGGAGCCCGTGCTGTCATGTGGGTTGGCGCTGTCAGGAGGCTGGACTTCCCGCCGTGGCCACATCCAGGACCCCAGGGCCACACACGCCAGTCTGTTTGGGCTTTTTCAAAATACAGATCTTTTATTTCTTTTATTTCTTTTGTAGGCTCCCAGGTGTCATTCTTTTCTTATTGTTTGCATTTCCAAGAGAATCCATCTTTTCTACCTGGGTTTTGAGCAAATTGAGAAATAAAACAAAATAGTGGCAGATGGAGACCGAAGAATAACTGTTACTTCTTCTAAATGAGAAGCTTGAAGTTCCATCTTCATGTGAGAACCAAATACACCGGCTGACTGAGTCCCAGGACTGCTTGGCTCGCCACCCTCCTGTGCGCTGGGGCGGCCCTCGGGTGCACAGCCTTCCTGGGGGACAGCCAGCCCAGAGGTGGGAGGAGGGGAACCTCCCAGGCTCTTTGTTCGCCAGGTTTACAACATACGAGTTGTCATTTGGGGCTATTGTTCTGGGGCCGGAGAAGGCGCAGGAGCGGCACCTGCTGAGCCCCTCTACTTGGAAGCAGACCCCGGGATTGGGGTGTTGCCTCCTGCTCAGCCAGAGACGGGGCCTTCCCTGGGGAGGGCGGGGGCGGCCACCTGCCCTCGGGGGCTCTGCTGGGGCTGCCGGGGCGACTGCAGCTCATCAGGACCGAACGCTGAGTCCTCCCCAAGGCCCTGCCCGAGTGTGCAGAGTCACTCTCTAGTTTATTTCTCGTCCTTAATCACATCCGCATTCAACCTTGCTCATCGGGACCCTACCTTGCGCTCGGATGCCGTGTACAGACTTCTAGCAACACAAAAGGCCCAAATCTGAATCTGATCTGCCGCTGCTGCTAATTTCCAGCGAGAAATGAACCCTCCAGGCTGGCCTTGTAAGGTCAAGGCCAGAGCCAGTTTCCTTCTCTACGTCCAGGCTCACGGTCTCCCCTCACGTGCTCTGTCTCCGCAAGAGGGTCTCGGGCCTCCTGGGAGCACACAGCTCCTCAGGGCCCAGAAGTCCGGTCCACGCACCACGGTCTCTGACAGCGCTCACTTCTCACCGGTCCAGCCTTTAGCAGGACCCGCCTCGTGCCCAGGCCCCTGTGGACGCCACCCCGGGAGAGCCTGTCCGTCATGCTGCCAGGGATCACAGAGGGGCCTTGGCTCCACAGGTGACGTGGGCGTGCAGCTCTGCCCGGTGCCTCGCGGGGACGTGGCCGTTTGGAATCCAGAGCCGCCAGCAGTCCACGTGGGAGAAGGTCCCGGGCGAGTCCCGGCTGTATGTCCATTTGCATTTCGGGAGGAACAGCCCTGGTTGCCTTGTAGGCCTTTCTGGTTCCGTGCTGCAGTGGTGGTGGTGCCTGCTCTGCGCAGGACGTGCGTGTGAGTGCATGTCAGTCTCGGCGTGTGGACTGTGCCAGGGAGTCGGCCCTTGGCCACGTGCACCACGTGGACCCCCTCCGGGCAGACCCAGGGCCCAGTGGCTCTGTGGGTGCAGTTGCCTGTCCCAGGGCCCTGCGTGGTGACACCTGGACCGCATGCTCCTGCGTCCCTTCTCCAGGTTTGGGTTCTCCTCGTTCCGTGGGCCGGTCCCCTCTGAGCAGTGCACCCCGCGGCCGGTCACTCGGGAATGTCGCTCTTGAAGCATTTTCCACGTGAGGCCGGATTGCCCCCCGCTGCCTTCCTGGCCCCGAAGGCAGAGTGACAGGGGCTGTCCTCTCCGTGCTCCCCGGCCGGTCTGCCCCCGCGTGCGGCAAGCACCCCGTGCCCTGCGCTGCGTGCACCTGTGCCCCGCGGTCCACAGTGCCGGGGAGACGCGGCTTTTGGGCTGCGCCAGGCCTGGCTGCCCAGTGCGCTGCAGCCCAGCCGCCCCGCCCCGCCCCGCCGGCGCTCCCAGGACCGGCCGTCCACCCGCTCTGCCTCAGGCCGGCGTGAGCCACCAGGCCCGCGTGCAGAGCCGCTGTCCCCATTGCTCCAGACTCTGCTGGTCTTTCTGTTCCTGCTGAGCCGCAGGGGCCTCGCCCAGAACGAACCCACGCCTCGGTGTCAGTTCCCGTGTCTCCAGTCCCGGGGTCAGCGGTGGCTCTCGGGGCAGTCGGGTGTGCTGCCGCGTCCTTTCTGGAGGCTCCAGGGGAACATGTCGGGGCCTTTCCAGCCGGCTTGCGTGGCCCTGGCCCTCCTTCCCTGCAGAGCAGCCGGCCGCCCGGCTGTGTCCCTCCTCCACCCGACACGATTCTCTGCTTCTGCCTGGAAGCCCGGGGTCACCCGGGGCCGCTGGAAGGATCCCGGGCACGTCCTGTTTCCGTCAGTTGTCAGCAACCCTCATTCCCTTCGCGAGGTTCCAGAGGTTGTGCTGTGGCCACGTGTGGGGTGATTGTTCTGCCCTCTGTAATCCCCAGTGAGTGTAAGTCTATTCCCGCACGAGTCTAGTTGAAGCCTTTGTTCTGAAAATGCCCGGGCACTGGCTGAGGTGCCCGTAGTCATTGTGTAGGGGTGCCCAGGGTGGGCCCGAGGGTGCCCGCTGTCCTCTCCGGCTGAGCTGTGCTCCCGGGTCATGGCAGGACTAGTCACTGTCCCCTCGAACCTCTGACGCATCCTGCTGACCCTTTCCCCGGGGCCTCGGCGGACCTAGAGGCAGGAGTGTGGTTTCCATGTAGGGATGACGATGCTGGAGCTAGAGTCACGCGGCTCCCAGGTCACCGTGCAGCCTCCACCGCAGGCTGTCTGACCCAGAGCCCAGAGCCCGTGTTCCCGTCTCGGTCAGTGAGTGCCACCGCATTCACTGGGGGTGGTCCCGCGGTCACACTGCCCACGCAGTGGTTGTTGGCATGACTGGTCACCATTCCTTGTGGCCAGGCTGAGTGCCCGTCCGTTTCCTGCAGACACGTCCCCGAAATGAGCTTTGCCTGTCAGCGGCTGTTAGTTCATCTCAGTGCGAACGTCTTCCATCCGCACAGAAACGTCCACTAAGGCTCCTGAGATGGGTGCACTGGCCCTCTGACATCAGGAGGGCTGGACTCGACCTTCTGAAGGCCACACGTGCTGGCCCTGCCCAGGCGGGCCTGCGGCCTGACACAGCGGGCCCTGTGTGGCTGCTCACCTGGGTCCCGGGGCTGCCTTGCTGTGCTCACGGTCCTCGCTGTGTTTCCTCAGGACAACTACACCTTTGCCCAGCCTGGGATCCAGATGAAAGTGAAGATGCTGGAAGAGCTCGTGAGCCGGATCGATGGTGAGCAGCCCTGAGCGGGCCCCTGTGGGCGGGCAGACGCTGTGGGCGAGGCCGCCCTGCAGGGTGACAGGATGCCCCTCTCCCGGCCCGGCCCCCCGGGGGCAGGAGTGCCCCACCCCGTGTGAAGGGGTGGAGTCAGGACAGACACGGGTGCCCACTAGGTGCCCAGGGCCCTGTGCAGGAAGCTGTGAGTGCGCATCCAGCCAGTACCACACTACTTGTTCACTGCCCGCGGGCACTGGCCCCACCCTTGCTTCCTGCGTGATTTCTCCTGGGACCCGGTTAGTCACCAGGCCTGGGAGCGCCCCCTCTCGTGTCACGGGAAATTCAAGTGTGCGCAGGGGAGTGGCGCCTTCGTCCCAGCGTAGCCCGTGATGTGCTGGCTGCCACGCTGCAGCAGCACAGTTCAACTAAGTGGGAGTGGGGGGTGCGGGCCCCTCCAAGCCTGTTCCCCGGCGTTTAAGTGGATGACAGAGCGTCAACACAGTGACGCGAAGCAGAGCCCGCGGCAGGTCCGGAGAAGGGAGTGGCTGTTCCCAAAGAGCCCCTGTGAGCCGGCAGATGTCCCACCGAAGGCAGAGAGCGTGGGGGTGGCCTGCCTCCTGGCGCTGCCCCGGGGCTTGCCCGGCCCTGCGTCCTGCCGCCCGCACCCCCAGCGTCAGCCTCAGCCGGATAGTCCTCAGGAGAAGGGCACTTGGTTTGGGAAGCGTGATTGACTTCCCCACGTGCGCTGTGCAGATGACGAACTCCGTCTGCTCCTTGGTGGACTCTGGTTTCCTCCTCTGTGGGTCGTGGCTCCTCAGTTTCCACATCGCGAGGTTCATTTACCCAGTTCCTCCGGCGACGCTCTGCTTGGCTCAGCACGTCCAGCTGCTTTGGAGCCTGTCCATTCAAATGCTGTCTTTCGCGTGTGTGGCTGCATTTATGTACATTTTTATTGTTAATTTCACAGAGAGAGATCGTTCTTTGATTTGTTGGATTTCTTTCCCGACCAGCAGTTTAGAGTGTTCCCCGGTCTCATTTAGTTCTCTGAAACGTGGCTTGCGGTGGACGGGAATCGCCCTTCGTCAGCGGCCCCTCTTCCCCTGCGCCCAGCAGGAGGTTTGAGGTCGCGTGGAGGTCAGGGAGCCCGGCCAGGGCCATGCCCTGGCTGCAGCTGGGTCCTGGGAGCCGAGCGCCGCCCTGTGCTTGGCGATCACTTCACGGGGCAGCTGCAGCGGCCGAGGGACCCCGCCCGTGCTTGCTCGTGGGTCGCACTGGTGTTGAGGGTGTTCGTCCCACAGGTTTCTGTCGCAGTCATCAGCTTTCTCCACACCGGAGATGCCGCTCGTCACAGGGCACACTGTGCAGCGTGTTCTTCTGATGAGCCCTGAAGAACTTCTGTGATGGTCCCAGCATGCAAACAGCCGGGCTTTTGAAGCAGGAGCCCTGCGGAGGGCCCTGTGGCTGGGCGCCGCACCGCAGAGCCCCCCGGAGCCGTGTCGCAGGCCTCGGCCGCTTCAGCACCCACCTCTCGGAGGGTTTGTGGGCTTGGAGCCTGTGCTGAGACCGTAAAGATTTTATTAAGGGCAGGATATCCAGGGAAGGAAAAACTGCCTTTAATAAACCGCTGCCTCATTTCTGCATTTTAGGGGAAGGACAGCATTTATGTCAGAACTTTCTGACACTTTGATGAAGGAACCCGCCTTCACGGACTTGTTAGGAGCGAGCCGTGGGTCTGGCCCACTGCAGGGCTTGGGAAACGCCAGGTCGCTCTGCAAAGTGAAGCTGCGGGACGTTGGGCGTTGCCGCGGGGCGGGAGGACGTGTGCGCGGGAGTCAGGAAGCAGTGCAGAGGCCGAGGCGGTCAGAGGTCCGGGGACAGAGGAAGCACGGGCCGCTCAGTCATGGGGCAGGGGCACGGCCTTCCTTTCCGGGAGAAGGAGCAGCTAGCGCACCTCTGAGACGCACTCAAGTCGTGTTCTATTTTGACGGGTACTGTAACCCTCCCTGCAGCCCCAAACCCTTAGAAAGAGTCTGTGGTGCGGGCCGGAGGGGCTGTGGATGAAGAACGCGGGGCGTGTCTGTGGAGGCTGAGTGGGAAGGAGGATGGGCAGCATCTGAGGGACTGGACACAGGGTGGGAGCAGTGGTCTGCGAACCCCAGGGGAACCCCGTATAGTCCCGGGCAGAGTGGGAGATGGAGATCTGAGCCTCTTCATTCGGGATTAAAGCAAAAGGCGAGAGTGGGAAGAACCAGGTAATCCAACTCCCTCCCAGGTGCACCAGATACGCGGGTGAATGTTTGATAAAGCCGGCAAACAGACAGAAGGAAGAAAAGAAACAAAAGGAGAAAGAAACCAAATGTCCTAAGAGCATTGGACTTGTAACCAGAGGACAGGACCTGGCCAGCCTCTAGGAGGGTGCAGGAGCCCAGAGGGGCAGCCCTGCACAGAGGCCGCTGCTGTGCCGAGGGCTGTGTCCATCCGGAAGAGAGAAGCCCGAAGTGAGCTGTGGTTTCGACAGCCTTATGGAGTGACTGGCCAAACCCTAAACCACCCCAGGTGGGCATCTGAGAGATGCCTACAGGGTACAGTCAGAGCCAGCTGCCCTTGGGGTCTGTGGTCCAGGGTGACAGCAGCTGGAGGACCAGGGGCGTGAGCCTTGATCATGGTATTTGTGTCCTTAGTTCTGGGAGGAGCAAAACCAAGTCTTTTCTGGAGGAAGTTTCAGAACACAAATGTTCCTATGGATAACGTAGATGTATACATGCTTATATATATATACACACAACTGCACTCACCCACACACGCATTCATGTACATAGACATACATACATAACTGGCCCACAAAGTTGTAATTGGCCATAACTGTTATCCTTACTATGTGTGAAGAAATGAGGGGGGAAAAATAGAGAAGCCAGGACATGCCTGCAGGGAAATAGGAAGTTATATAATTTTTTCATCAAAGATTTGAAAAATGATCAAAAATCAAATTTAAAAATGGAATGGACTAGTCTAACCAATGAGACACAGCTAAAGAGAAAGTCAGTGAACTGGAAGATGGTCTGGGAGAAAATAGTTCAATGAAACCTGGGGAGATGCAAATATGGGCAACAGAAGGGAGGGGACCCAGGGTCATGGTGCTAGTGGCTTTATCTGGGGTCAAAGATAGAGAGGGGCGAGACGGTGGACGGACTTGAAATCATGCCTGAGATGTTTTACACAACGACCGAAGAACACGAATTCACAGATTCATGAGTTGAAGGAGAAAACTCCATGTGAAAGTGCATTTCTACGTCTTTGCCGTGTATCCAGATCATGCAGCTTAGACCTGTGTGGCTGTGACATCAGTGACATGATGGCAGCCCCGAGATCGCAGAGCCTGGCTCTGCCCCGCGTCAGAACTGCCAGAGGTGCCCTGCGGGCTGCGGCAGAGCCCGTTCCCGGGCCGACGCCAGCTCGCTCGCAGCTCTGCTGTGACAGGGTGTCACGGCGAGTGGGGTGCCTGCATCTTTGGCTGGACACCCGGAGAGCCCCGTTCCGCGTGCGAAAGCCGTGCTCCGGAAGCTGCACCTGGGAGCTGCGAGCGCGGCCGAGGTCAGGCTTGTTTGTGCAGAGTCTCAGCACCAGGTGGGGAAGAACTGCTCCGGAAGCTGCACCTGGGAGCTGCGAGCGCGGCCGAGGTCAGGCTTGTTTGTGCAGTCTCAGCACCAGGTGGGGAAGAACCGCTCCACAGGTTAGCGAGTCGCCCGTCGGGCTGGAGCTGGCGTGAGAAGGGAGCCACAGGTCACCCTCGGTGTGGTGGGTGGACACCACAGGACTGGGCGGGCAGCTCCAGAGCTGGGGAGGTGGACGGACACGCGCTCCCTGGTCTGTCCCCAAGGCCCTGCTCCTCCGTGGCCGGCCCTGCCCAGAGCCTGCACCTGATCTGCAGCTCTATGGAGGTGCGTTCAGAGTGGGCAGAGTTGAAGGCAAACCAGGCCTCAGCCTCAGGACGCCCTTTCTGTGGGAGGCGGGCGGTGACGGAAACGCCGCTGTGTGATGGCCATTTCACATTGAAGAAGGTGGAGGTGCGCGCCATGCACACACACATGCACGCACACACGTGCACACATGCACGCGCACACACACAGTCTCTCTCCCTCTCTCTAGATGCAGTTAATCCACTGGCGTGGTCCCTGCATCCGAGGTCAGTGATGTCTGTTTTCCGTGGAGCACATTGGTGGCTGGCACACGTCCCGTTGCCCGTGTCAGAGCAGGGCAGCAGTCCCCCCGGAGGCGTTTGTGTTCGTGGCCAAGGGCTCCGGCCGAGCTCTAGACCAGCTGAGCCTGCTGACTTTCCTCCGAGCAGCATTGTGATGAATCTGGTCACCACATGCTTCTCTTTGAGTGAAGTCTCTCTTCTTCATTAGGTTTGATCAATTTCTGGCTGGGTTCTGACTTCGTAATTATGGTTCTCTACAAGGCTGGCCAGGAGCCCTCGACTGCTCTGCTGAGTCGTCCGGAGATAGACCGCCTGAGGGTGGCTGGGCTCTCTTCACGGTGACCGTGGAGGTGACCTTCGAGCTCACGTCCTGGACCACAGCCAGCACGGCCTGCTAATGGGTTGGTTCTTGTCACTCGGGTGCGGGCGGATCTTGCTTTTCTTTCTGTCCAGTCCTTCGTCCACGCTGCAGCCGCTCTTCAGCCTGTAACCACGGTTGGACTGCTGATCTCAGTGTAGTGGCTGAAACACATTGTGGTGGCCTCCAGGGCCCTTCACAGTGTGGTCCCCACCTCTTCATCCTCTAGTGGCCGTAGGCTGTGCTAACCCAGGCTGTTTGCTTCTCCTTAAGGACAGCCTGCAGCTCAGCTTCTGCTCTGGGTCCCGTCCACGCTGCTTCCTCAGCCACATGCCTGCTCCGCGGGTCCCGGGCCCCCGCTGGCGCTCAGCAGCAGGATTGCAGCCAGGCACCGCATAGGCGAAGGCAGAGTCTGCACGCAGGAGGGGGAATGTCAGGCAGGGCTTCAGCCTTCAGGGG